CTTTTGATATTATCTGAATATTTGGTTTAGAACTATGGTCTGAATTTTCTAAACTCATTAGCCTTAAGTAGACTTCATGAAGTCCTGCATAAATGAACAGTGTTAAAATTGGCTAGCATTTCAAAATTCACCAACTAAACGGTGAAGTATTAACCAAGAAAAGCCTTGTCAGAGTCAAAGGCAAAATACCGTACTTGGCTTCTACCCCCAGTGCTCTGCGAAATGATGACTTATTTATAGCCCCACATACAAGCAACTGCAGGAGGCCTGTAGCCAAAGGAATGATGCATCAAAAACAGTGTGCACCCTCACCCTCCCCTCCCCCTGCCCTGGAGGCGGGCTGGGTCTGGTCTGGTTTCCTGTAAGAGGGGACATATCACCCATTTGTTATATGCCTGCCCCAAAATCAGGAGCAAAGATTTGGCTTCTCAGTAGCAACTTTCTTTCACCTGCCCAGAGAAATACCACTAATATTTAATCCAGCAGCTCTAACATGCAGGGGCTAGAAAGGCCCAAGTTCCATAAAAATAACTGATTTATTATTGCTAATTTATTATTGCCAGGACACTGCAAACTGTGAGCTTCTCATCACACGTTATAAATAGCTCCCTCATTTTAAGTTTCTAGTGTACCTCCTCCCTGCCCCACAATCATCCTATCATTTTAGGAAGAGCTCTTAAACATCATGCCTTGTCCACACCCTGAAAGTCAATCATGGCCCAAAATTCTTGGAAGCAATAAAAAACAGGGGTGAGGCATCCTCTTTCTTTTTTTTTTTTTTTTGATAGGGGCAGGTGGCACTTTTTTTCCATGCTGATCCTCCTCTTTTTGCTGAGGAAGACTGGCCCTGGGCTAACATCCATGCTCATCTTCTTCCACGTTATGTGGGACGCCGCCACGGCATGGCCTGACAAGCAGTGCGTTGGTGCGCGCCCAGGATACGAACCCAGGCTGCCAGCAGTGGAGCGTGTGCACTTAACTGCTATGCCACGGGGCGGCCCCCAGGCATCCTCTTTCCCACTCCTGTTTTTGTGGCTTGTTTTCTGTTCTGGGAAATCCAGTTATCAAAATACAGAGAGCAAACATGTAAACACTGAGTAGAAAACACGCAAATCCACTAATTACTCTCACTCACCCTCCAAGACACTAAAGATGGAGCCACCATTATATCCCTGAAGGGGCTGGCCTGGAGGTTCTGTTCCAGGAAATTTGATGGGCCAGGACGATGCACGCACATCCCCAGCCAGCCTGCGATCCCACTTCCTGCTCACCAAGGCTGGGAGCCCTTTGGTTTTTACCTACCCAGACTTGACTCTGGCCTTATTAACATTCACCATAACCAAATGTCTAGTTCAGGAAAGATGAAGTTTTGGGGCTCAGAGAAATAAGATCAGACTTGTCTCAGACACGACTATTATTATGTATATTCCAGTCACAATTAGACTAACTCCACGAGACACCCCTGAATGCCACGTGGAATTGCCAACCATCCAATTTTTCTCCCAGATGAGCTAGAGATTAAAGCTACTAGAATAAACTAGTGAAACTGAAGAACTAGCTGCAACCATCTTCATAACCTTGGATGACAATGATTACTTAAACTTTAAGTTAAAAATTCATAACTTTGGGGACCAGCCTGGTAGCATAGTGGTTAACTTCACATGCTCCACTTCAGTGGCCTGGGGTTCGCAGGTTCGGATCCCGGGCGCCAACCTATGTACCACTCATCAAGCCGTGCTGCGGCAGCATCTCATATACAAACTAGAGGAAGACTGGCACAGATGTTTGCTCTGGGCCAATCTTCCTCACCAAAAAAAAAAAAAAATTTTTGTAACTTTGATTAACGTTGTAACTTTATAAACGAAGTTAAAAAGCAAATGACTATAGACTAGGAGAAAATGTTTTGCAATATATTCAACAGAAATGTATCCAGAGTAAATATAACCCACAAATCAATAAGAAAAAATAAATAGAAAAAAAGGGCAAAGATTAAGGATAAGCAAATAAGAGAAATACAAATTGCCAATGACTCTGTTTTTCACATGTGCATTCTCACTAGTTTTCAGGCATATGCAAACTAAAATGAGATGCTGTTTCTCACCCAGATTGGCACAGATTCTTAAAGACGGATCGTTCAAATTAGAGAGAATGTAGGGGATGTTGGATTTAATGAGATAACCTACAGCACCTGGACCACAAATGGCAGTGACTTTGTGATGAAGCATATTGAGTATTTGTATTCCACCTTCTGTGACGTGCCCTTCATGCCCTGGTGACAGGTGTGTAGACAGGTAAAATCACCGTGGAAATAACTGGGCAGTATCTAGTAAAACTGCGGCTCTCACAGCCTAGCACCCAGCAACACCACCTCTGCGTAGAGTCCTTAGAGAAACTGTCCAACTTATCTGTGTCAGAGGAAACGTATATGAGCTTATTCACTGTCTCACTGTGCATAATGAAAACAATAAAAATAAGCAAAGGAACAAACTGTTATGAACCGCCACATAGTATTTAAAAAGATGGAACCAGATTTAAATACATTAGCATGGACAAAACTTAAAAACACACAAGCTGACGGGGGAAGAAGCAGATGCACAATACTCACAGTATGATACGGCTCTAAAGAGCCAGTCCCCACAAAGCAGTGTCATGTATCAGGGATGTACACAGGTGCGTGTACACATACGGAAACTAAACCCACGACACGGGCTGCTCCTTGCAGTGGGTAAGCAGAAGGGACTTGAGTGTTAGCGGAGATGTTTTCTTAAAACAAAGGTAGAAAAATCAAAAGCAAATATGACAAACGACTCAACAGTTATTTATTGGGAGTGTCTACGAATATGCCTGTTTTATCATTTTTGTCTTTCATTTTTTCAATTTCTCAAAATGGAAATTCTCCTAGCCCGTCAGGCCACCTGGGTAAACAAGCTGCGTTGACTCCACCGGCCCGGGATCTGCCGTCTCAGGAAAGCTGAACCGAGAACTGCAGCCACGGGAAAGGAAGGACTGAGCTGTCCCTCTACGTCTGTCCTCCACCTTCTTTCTACATCTTCATCAGGACTTTTCATATTTCCATGAGCAATTCTAAGAATTAACTCCAGCTTATTTTACTCGGCGGCATACCTCTGAGTTTTCTGCTTACACAAAAGCCCTCTGTTCCCCTCTGTTCCTAGAGTTGAGCTATATACGTTACAGTTGCCCAGAGACAAACCCCCAAAGACGACCACACAGGTCTGGCTGACTGATGGAGAAACTCCTCAAAGCACAATGGAACATCTGTGATGAATCTGGGTCTTACAGGTGTACAAAATGCAAAACAAAGCAAATGAAGGTAGCATTCACAGAGAAAGAGAAAGTGGAACTTTCTTTGCCTCTATTTTTAAATGTCAAAAGAAATTTACTTGCCACATATATGACAAAAGGTTAATACTGCTAATATTCAAAGAGTTCTTACAAATTTTTAAGACAAAAATAGACTCCCTAAGAGAAAAAGAGACAAAAAGCACAAATGGGGAATTCACAAGAGATGAAATAAAAATGGTCAAGAATCATCATAACCAAACAGCTACCATTTAGGGGATGAGGGCTTCACACACGTTATCTCATTTAACCCTCAAAGCAACCCTATGGGAGCAGCACTTCCCACTACACTCGAAGGTGAAGCAGCACGTCCAGGATCTCATGGCAGATAAACAGAGCCTGGCCGGCTGACCACAAATCCCGAGTCTGGACCACTGAGCTTCACAGCAGACAGGATGACTGACTGACCCGCTTGCTGGGGAGGATTCGGGGAAGAGGCCTTCTCCTGCAGCCTTCCTGGGAGTGGGATCCCAACAGCTGGGCAAGGGGTCTCTAAGGCGTCATCCATCCTACTGCCCACAACCCCACTTTGGGGAGTGCACCCTAAGAAGATAATCTCAGAAGTTCTAAAAGGTACATATAAGTCTCATAAATTCCTATAAAATGCACAAAGGCCATCGTGACAGGACTGTTTATGACAAGGAAACACTGCAAACTGCAAGTCTATCAGTAAGGGACTAGTCTGTAGCATGTGCATGCAGAGGAATACTATGAAGCTCTTTTATACTAAACTGTCCCTAAGATAATATATATGGTATGATCTCATTTAAGTAAAAATGTGCAAACAACTCTACATGAACATATGGAGACAGGTTTTCCAAAATTTTAAGAGTGGCTTATTTTTGATTGCAGGGCTCCCTGATGACTTTTACTTTCTTCCTGTTGCTGTTCTGCGTTGTTTGGATTTTTTCTTACCTATCCTTTTTACCAAAATATGAGAGCTGATTGAACGTCAGAGTTCTGTCAACGTTTAAACGCAAAGAGCATTGAACTCTGGATTAAGTAGACCTTTCCTCCTGGGATTTGTTACAAAACTAACTACTCACTATCCTCAATACTGCCACAGCGCCCTGAGGGGGTCACCGACCCCCTCCAGCACTGCCCAGCTCCACCCACCTCTCCACAGACCCGGTCCTCCCCTCAGGGGACCCTCCAAACACTCGGCTCCCCCTGCTGCCCTAACTATTCAAGTTCACCCTCATCGCTCCCTCAGCTCCGCCCACCAGGGCTGGGGACCAGAAGGATGCCCGCAGACGTCAGTTCACTCTCCGGCCTAACCTCAGCTCTCGTCACTCCCCTAGGCTCCGCGGCGTCTTGCCCCCGCCGCTGGGGCACCCCTCAACCCTTTACTGAGCACCCCAATGTGGGCAGAGGCCAGCTCCGCTGCCCACCCAGGAACTCCACCCCGCCCGCCCTCCGCGCCCCAGATCTGCAGGGGTCACCGCCCCCCGCGCCCCTCCCGGGCCCAAGCCCTCCCCCTGTAGTGGGACCCCTCCCCCTGAAGCCCCGATCTACGGCAAGCGCCCGTCCAGAGCCCTCGGACCCGCCCCCCCCGAGCCCTCTCCAGGTCCGAGCCCCTTCCAAGCCTGGACCCCCGACCCCTCCAGCCCGCGCCCCGGACACCCGCCCGGCGCGCTCACCCTCCCGGCAGCGCCGCCTCCAGATGGTGTCAGTGTGCAGGATGCGCCGGAACTTGGTGCAGACCTGGGCCAGGCTGGGCAGGTCGGTGCCGGGCAGCGAGGCGAAGATCTCCACCAGCAGTTCGGGCGGCAGCTCCAGCAGCGAGCAGCGCGGGGGCGGCGAAGGGCCCGCGCTCCGGCCGCCCCCCGCCCCGG